AGGACAGAGAGCAGGCAGGCCAGGGTCAGGCTAGGTCAGGGCAGGTTGGGGAGGCCGTCCTACCTGCCCACTGAAGCCGATCCCATCAGGGGACTTGAGGAACTCCGCGTAGACCTGGTTGGCCCGCTCGATGACGGTAGCCACCGCGTCCTGGTAGCGCGGGGAGGAGATGGCCAGCAGGGGCAGGGCGGCCAGAGGGACGTGGTCCTGGCTGTTGCCGAGGCAGCCCTCATCGTGGCTGTAGGGGTTCAGGCTGCAGACAGGGTCAAGGGAAGCCCAGCCGGGCTCAGGAGCGGCAGGCAGAGGGCGGCGCAGACACAAGCTGGCCACGGTTAGGCCCCTGCTCGGGGCTCCAGAGGACGAGCCGGGTAAGAGCCAGAGTAAACACGGCGCAGGCGGGGGGTTTGGGGGGCACTGTGCTGGCTTCCTGTGCATCTGTGCCCGCACGAGCCTGGGATGCGGGCCTGGGTCCCCTGGGGTAGCGACCCTCCCCTTCCCTCTTCTGCTGGGCCCCAAGCGACACCCCGATCACGGAGGAAGCCACCTGGTGCGGATCAGGGTGGGGACATATCATCAGAGCAGACTTCCTGGAGGAGACGGAGTTTGGACTAGTTCTCAAGGAAGGCTTTAGGGACGCTAGAAAGGAGGAGAGAGAGCCCTCCAGGCGTGGGGTCCCATGTCAGCCGCCACTTGCAGATGGGCACACAGCTGCACGCATGACCTTGTGTCCGTCCTTCTCGGGAGAGGGTCAGAGCCTTCGTGGGCTTTGTGGAAAGGACCACGAGAGCCTGCCCTACAGCATCTTCACGGCCAGGGCACAGTCCAGCCCCCTCATTTCCCTGCTTCCTCACCAGCAAGTCTCTCCCTCTGTGGGTGGCTCAGACCCCTCTGGGGTCAGCTCCCAGCGCCCGCCCCAGCCCACACCCCCACCTGGCCTGCCTCTGTCCCTTGGCCGGGAGGGACCAGCCCCCTGCCCACGGCCCAAGCTCAGGCTGACGAGGGCCCAGTGCCGATCCTGCTGGGGACCTGACAGAGACCAGGACAGGCGACGGGGCTCAGGGTTTTCTGAGCAGGTGGCAGAGCCCTCGTGGTGTGCAAGCTGGCCTAACAGCCCTTCCTCATCTCCAAAGAACACAAATTAGAGGAAACAGGCCTCAATTGCAGCCGGAGAGATTTTAATTAGCTGAGCAAGAACTCCCTCCCGGCAGTGACTGGTGTGATGGATGGCCGGTGAGGAGCTGCCTGGGGGAGTGAGGCCGGTCCCCCGCCCTCCCCTCGAGTGGCCGGGCTATCCATCTTGCCGGTGATCAGGCCGGGGCTGGCTGACCCAGTTCTGGAGGTCAGACGTCCTTTGGGCGAGGGCCCGGGGTCCTGAGATCGAGAGCACGGTAACTCCTGACAGCCAGAGCAGGGAAGAGCCCCCTTCCCAAGTCCCGTCGCAGGGCAGGTGCCCAGGACGCAGATTCCAGGGCTCCTGCCCTCCCGCCCGGGGACCCCAGGGTGAGCCCTGGAGTCCCGCATTAACAAGAATCATGTCGGGCTGGGGAACTATGACTCATCCCGTCCTTCCTTCCAGCTTGGACGGAGACCTGCCCTGCGCGTCCCGTGACCGCAGACGGTCAGAGGGGAGGCTGCTCTGGGTCCTGGAGGCAGCAGAGACCCTCCTGTCTCTCAGAGGGAAGAGTGAGCCCCGCACGCCCTGCTCTCTCCCCCAGGGCCCAGGGGCAGGCTTGGGTGAAGAACCCCGGCCCAGTGAGCGCGCTGCCCCATCCCCTCCACCGGATGCCCACGAGAGCGCCGTCCCCCCGTGAGGACGAAGTGAGTCACAGCTCACCCCTCACTGTACCTGCTGCACCAGCCTGCGGGACCCTCACAAAATCTCCAGCAGGTACTTAGGACATGATTATCCCCATTTTACAGATGAGGAAACCGGCACAGGGCAGTCTCCCGGGTCCCCCGCGGTGCCCTGCACCACCTGCATCAGAACACACATGCCCACTGGGCTCAAGAGCGAGGCTGCCCGGGTTCGACTCCTGGCTCCAGTCGCTGGGTACCCCTGCGGGGATTTGCATTAGCCTCTCGGGGCCCCGGCATCCTCCTCTGGGCCAGGAGACCAGGGCCTCGTGAGCACCGGGAGCAGGTCTGCACCACCGAGGGGGCGGGCGCCACCCGGCCCGGCAGAGAAGGACACGCCGAGCTGTTCACTGCTCTGGACTCTGACCACTCCCAGCACCGTGCTCAGGTCGGTCAGGGGCTGACGTCCCAGGGAGGTGCCCCAGGCAGGGAGCCCCGCCACGTCATCCCCACCAACCCCGGCCCGTCCAGAAGGGCAGGAAGGACTTAGAGACTCACTTAGAGACGAGTGAGAAGGCGTCCGAGCAGACAGCCGGGCAGGGCACGAACTTGATGAGGATGTGGCCCAGGGCCGCCGGGAAGTGGGCACGCGTGACCTTCTCCAGCACAGAGCTGAAGGTGTGGATGTCGGCCGCCTTGCAGGACGGGTCCCCCACGCCCGTGTCCAGGATGTTGCCCCCATGCAGCACCAGCAGGAGGACGTGCGTCTTGCAGGAGCGCTGTGGGCAGCCTTCCTAGAAGGACATCAGCCGGGATAGAGACAGGCAGAGACCCACCACCGCATGCGCAGCTGGCCTGTCTCCATTCCCGACGTGGCGGGACCTCCTGTGCGTTCAGAGGGAGGCGCACAGGCAGCCGGGTGACCAAGCCCCCCGTTGTCGGGGCAGGAAAGCTCCTAAGAGGCCCTTCTTGTTCACATGGGAGCCAGCAGCCCGGAGAAGGACAAGCACCTGCCCAGGGTCCCACAGCAAGTCCAAGGATGAGGAAGTCAAGTGTCTGCCAGAAACGCTGACCAGAGGGGCGCCCAGACACCCCCAGAAGCCCAGCCCACCTCGTTGTCTTCGTGGATCTCGATGCTTCCCTGGGCTGGGAACCTCTGTCTTCTCAAGGAGACCCGATACAGTTCTCCTGCGGGGAACAGAGGACTCAGCACCTGTGGGCCTCCCTCAGGCCGGGGTTGCAGGTGCTCCCTGGGGTCCGGCTGGGGGGACAGCGTCCAGCCCCCGGCTCCAGATCAGCGGCACCAGAAACCTTCGTCCCCCCAGGGAAGGGAGGCCAGCAGGGCAGGCCCCCGCAGGCGCAGTCCCTGGGGCCGGGGAGGCTGTCCCAGAAAGCACCGTCCTGCTTTTCTTCACACGCGACAACAGCAACAGCAGAAATGCCCTCTGCTGACTTCGGCTTCCAGCTGTGGATGCAAATGTGGGCTGAGCACCCTCTGAAGCCCGGAGGCCCGTTTCAGGTCTTTTCTAAAACATCTGCCTGAAGCCATCAGAGCAAGGCCTTGAGTTGGGGGCCCAGGGCCCGGGGCAGGCGCACCCCACAGGCATGGCGGGTCTGGGCCCACACTCCTCACCACCACCGGGAGCTCTGGTGAGGCCGCCCCCAGGGGAAGGCTGTCCCCGCCTCCCTCAGCTGCCACTCCGCCTCTGGGGCCTCCAGCCTGGGCCCTGGGACCCGCAAGCAGCAGCCGCAGACCGTCTCTGGCCCGCCGCCTGTTTTTGTAAATAAAGTTTTATTGGAACACAGCTGGAGCGGTTGGCTGCTCACACAGGGGCCTCGGCGGCAGACTTTCCTAGTTGCCACAGCGTCTTCAGAGCCTGCAGAGCTGGAGTATTTGCCCTCCGGCCCTTACAGAGAAGTCTGTGCGATCGATACCTAAGTTCCCGGAGTCTGGGGTGGAGAGAGGCCCCCTTGCTGCCTGCCCGGTGCCACCTGCCACGCTGACCTTGCTTCCTTCCTCTCCCTGCTCCCCATGGGAAGGACAGCATTTTCTCTGTGAGGCTGCACCACACGGCTAGACTATGACCCACTCGTGTGCCTTCAGTGACGGGGAACTCACTCACCTCCTAGAGCAGCCAGTTCCGTGCTGGGACAGTCTTTGTTTCCTTGCACAACCCCCCACCCCCCAGAGCCTGCCGCACCTGCCAGGAGTCACATGGGAATGGGGAGGCTCCTTCCGGGGGCTCTGCGGGCAAGCCTGCAGCAGGGGAGGGTGGGGACCCAGCCGAGGGTCTGAGTCCGATCTCCCAGCCGCCCCTGGCCCCACGGCGTTTGGTAACAAGAAATTTTTCTTGGAGGGCAAGTGCACTTCTGAGCTCTTGGTTCCTTACAGACATGGCCCTGGTCTAAGGGCAACTGCTTTACGAGCAGGGGGCTGCCACCCACACCAGCGTGGGATGGTTTCCTCTGATGGAGGTTTGGCCTGGAGGTGGAGCAGGGAAGCCTCGGGGTGAGGGAGGCCTGGCTCGGCCCATACTCCCTCCAGCTCCTTCCGGCCGCTCAGCTCTTCTCCATAACATCCTGTGGACCCTGGGCCCCGACCTCAGGACAGGCTCCCAATACAACACACGGGGAGCTGGCCTGGTTTTTGCCGAGCACTTACTGTGTCCCAGACGCCGTCCCCTACTCCCCACAACCACCCCCAAGCTTTGGATCTCTGGGTATTAGTCCCATTTTCGGATGAGACATCCGAGCCTCACAACTCCTGGGTCACGTGCCCCAGGCCCCACCACGAATAAGGTTGAGCGAGCCAGCACACCCAACAGAGGACGCCGCCCGACGATGGTCCGTCCTCCCCGGGGTGGGGGCGGGGGGGTGACACCACGATCCCCGTCCGCAGGAGAGGAGACGCTCAGGCCGCCCGGCACGGACCCCTCCCCCATAGCAAAGCAGCCACGCTCCATGGTGCGTGTGGCCTCGTGTGCGGCTCCGGGGCCCGTGCGGACCGGGAGACCACGACTTCCGAGGCTGGGGCGGACCTGCTTTGGAGCCAGAGTGCCCGAGTCCAAGTCTCGCTCTGAGCGGCTGTGTGAGGGGGCTCGGTTTTCTCATCTGGGACATGGGGCTGGCGGCCTCCCAGGGCAGGGGCCGAGCATGAATGAGTCAGACGTACGCAGCGCTCAGAGCGGGGCCGGCCACACACCAAGTCTCTGTCCGCGTCAGTCATGCATGCGGAGGACGAGCCGGGCCAGAGGCTGGCGGGGACATGGCTGCCTCCACACACGCCGCCCTGCCCCCAAGTCCCGCCCGAGCCTGGCGGCGACGCGCACTTCCAGGCTGCAGTTGCTACCGATTACCACCGTGAGCCTATAAACGAGCCGCAGGGAAGACGTGAGGGTCCCGCCGTCTCCCGGGCACCGTGCCCTCCGCGAGCTGGGGCTGCATCCTGCGCCTTGGGCGCCCGCCACGCTCCGGGCAGCGAACCGATGCTGCATCCTGGCCACCTGGCTCGGCGGGGACGGGCCTGGCAGGGCCCTCAGCACCCCCGCGCCTTCCCCGGCCAATGGGAAGAGCCTGGCTTCATTTCAGAGTGCAGAGCCAGAGAGGTTTGGCAGGAGGGGAGGCCTCGCCCGCAGACCTAGATCCTGCCCCCCGAGGGCCGGCTAACAGGACTGGAGGCGCCCCCCGGGGACACGCACCTCTGCAGACACGTAGAAAGGCAGCCACGAGGCCCCCCTGCCTGGGCCTGGCCCACAAGCCTTCTGCTCTTCTGCGAACCAGACATTCCCCCCAGGGTAACTGAGAACACTAGCGCTGGCTCGCCCACCAGGCCCGGCAGGTTCACTCCTCCCTGTCTCCGCTCATGCCGAGCCTCTGCCGGCAAGGCCTTCCTCCCCGGGCACACCAGCAACCCTGCTCCCCTGCTCCAGCCTCGGGAAAGCCTTCTCAGACCTACTTAGGCAGAGATGGTCACCTCACACCGTGCTCGGCTGGGCCTGGCTCATGCGTCCATTTCTGCATCAGACTAGGGGGGCCCCGAGGGCAGGGATCATCAGGGTCTAGCATGGTGTTTTTGTGAAAACCCACTGCAGGCAAAGATCCCAGGGTGCACGTGGCCTGTGAGACATGTCCATGCTCGTCAGCCCCTGGGAGAAATCCCGTTTAGGGAAGCCAAGTCTACAGGGACGTGCGTCTCCTGGAAGGCCCCCGGGGGGCTGGTGTCCGGGAACCAGGGCGAGCTCTGGGCCTGGCCTGGGCCTTATCCGTCCTCCCCTCCGCGGGCTTCCCCAGAGCCTCTGGTGACGGGAGCGGCTGGTGGGGTCCTGGGAGGTGGGGAGCCCAGGGCCTCGTGGGCGGGCTGCCTGTTTCTCCCGACGTCTTTGTTTCTGCGGGCGCAGCCCTATTCAGGCGGGGTCCCTGCGGTGCCCAGGTTCGGGGTGGGGTGCGCCCACGGCTGTTTCTGCGACCATGTCCTGTGACCGCAGCGCCCGCCCCCACCACCCTGCCAGCCTGCCCAGCTCCCCGGCCTCCTGCTGCCAGCTGGAGAGGGGAGGCTGTATTCGCTTAATCACAGCCTTGGAAACGCACAGATTGTGACCACCCTTCTAATTACCCAAGTGCCACACTGTCCCTGACACAGAAGCCGAAGTCAACACCCACGCGCTTGGCATGCCAGGCAAGGCGTCCCCGGCTCGGCGGAGGGGCCCTGTCTCCGTCTCTGCTGCCGCCGGCCGCGGGACCCACGAGGGCCGGAGGCTGGGGTGCCCCCGGCTAAGGCCGCCGCTCCATCCCACCAGCCCCTGCAGGCCCCCACCTGCCGCTCGTGCCCCCAGGCGAGCAGAGCCGGGCCCAGCTCGCGACCGTGCGTCATGCCCTGAGAGCGACCCCATCCTCTGCGTGCACGCACGGGCGTAATTCTGTGGACGAACCCCGAGTCTCTGCTGCCTGCTCTGAGTGGGATGCAGGACGTGGACCAGGAGTGTCCGGGAGGAACGAGAGCCTCATTCCCCACAAGCGGGGGCGGGGGGGCTCCGTGGCCTCGAGCCCCCGAGTGAACGCACGCAGACAGGCACACACACGGGGGGCAGGGGTGGGAAGAGCCGGGGATGAGGATGAGCACCCCCGTCAGCGAGGTTTTGTTTGGATGGGGGGACAACAGGTGACCGTTCCCTGAACTCCGCGCTATTTTCCCATTTTTCTCCGGTGAGCCCGATTTCCTTCGGTGTAAAGCTATCTGTGAGTGCAAGCATGTGTCACACTCAGAGGAAGGACACTTTCAACAGCCGCAACCCCTGACTTCCCAAACACACACACCAGAGCGGCAGGCCTGCCCTCGGGAGCTGGGGGCTGGCGAGGGGACCCGAGGGCGTGAAAAGGGAAGGACGGCGTAACCGTGAAACTCGAAGCGTGAATCAAAATCCTGCGTTTGGGTCACAAAACCAGCTGGACACCACGGCGGCCTCCTGCTCCGCTGGCTGGGGCCCAAACGCGTGTCCGGGAGCCCGAGGACCTCAAGGACACGGGCCTCAGCTGGGCAGGGGGCCGCCTCCACGGCCTCTGCGTTGCAGGCTCCATGGCCTTCAGTGCAGAAGGAGGAGGGCACGTTCCTGCAGCTCAGGCCACTCTGGGGTCTCAGATGGAACCCAGCAACCAGGCAGGAAAGCTGCAGGAAGGGGGCCCCCGCCTGGGGAGGAGCAGGCTCGAGGGGACGCGGTGGCCCGCAAATGCCCAGGAGCTGCGTTTGGGTCACGGGACCGTCCCGGAGGGAGGCTCTATGAGCAAGTTGTGTAAGTGGACGCTGGGCAGGAACTCCAGGCACGGTGGGCTAGATGGACCTTGAGGTCCCTGCTGTGACAACTTAACCCTTTCAAGGTCAGGGCCCAACCCCATCAGCCTGGATGCATCTGCTAAGGAGGCTCGACCCCCGGTGGCTGGTCAGGCCCCCCCAGAGGTGCTGGCCCACACAGAGGCCTGACCACTGCCCCGCGAAGTGAGCCTGCGGGCGGAGGGGGAGGAACTGCCACGGAGCCCACCCGGCCCTGCTGGGAAGCGGGCACAGAGACAAGGAGTCACCAGCGTGCTCCCACCGGCACGTGCCTGCACGCTAACCCCCCGCCACGTCCAGAGAAAGGACAGGGCACGGCTTTTATGCGTGGCCTCCGAACCCCAAACCTAGGGATGCCCACCGAAATTACTCCGAAAGGCCTTTTTCTCACCTCCCAGATGGGCTTTCCCGCGCTGCCCAGGGTGTGGGGAAGCAGCCCCTCCCCTGTTCACGGCTGGAGTCCGCGGAGGGCAGTTTGGCAACGTCACCAGAAACACCCAACGCCCCGGACGCCCCAGGACCAAGCCTCGTGCAGACGGGTGCTCACAGGACACCAGCCACGGCCGCGCGGTCATGCTACAAACACGGAAAGCAATCTGTGCCCACCACGGGGGCCGGGGAGACAGTTAACGCCAGGTGGACAGGACACGCCTCCAAACGCACTGAGAAGCTGATAACCCCGACAGGTGACGATCGCCCGCGAGGAGCAGGGGGCAGAACGCGCTGTGTGCGGCGGGCCTAAAAATGCACACAAGCGGGTATTTATGGAGACGTCCGCATGTGCAGGGAGTATGTCATCACCGCCGCGGGACGGGAGGAGGGCGCGTCACCTGCGTCCTTTTAGAATTCACGTGGTCGCCGGGCGCTGCCACTCAGAAGTCAGGTTACAATGAGACTTTCCTCAGAGCCCGTGGAGCTGGCTAACTTCCTTTCGGAGACACTAATTTCTGTTTTCTCGCTGCTTGGGTTTCTTTGCCTCTGGGGAGCCTTGGGGCCATGCTTCCTGGTTTTTGTTTCCAGAAGCTCTTTTGTTCCCAGGAGAAAAGGATTTGAGGAAACAGATTGTCTCCGGCTGAAAAGAGACCCCAGCCCCCAGCCCAGGCTGAGACCTGCGCGGGGTGCCCTAAGGGGCCCAGACTGCCAACAAGGGGCTGCAGAGCAGGACGCACGGGACCACAGGGCTGGGGCTCCCACATGCCAGCGCCATGGGGTGGGGCACTCGGCTGCGACATGCAGGGCTGGGAGCCGCCCAGGCCTGGTCCTGTGCCCCCGAGTTCCACTAAATCTGAGAATGCGGTCCTTTCACCGGGCCCTCCTCCAGCCCTGCGTCCACACAGACCTTCCTTCTCCTTTGGAACCCTGACCCAGTCACAGGCTAGATTCTACCTACTCTACAAAACGCTGTGCTATGTTCCCACACCAGCTTCTCCTCTGGGCTTAAGCACTAGGCTGTAGAATGGTTTTCAAACCTTCTCCATCTCACCACAGGGCCTTTGCACGTTCTGCTCCCCAAGACCCGACTCTTCTTCACACTACTGTGTCCAAATATTCCCTCCTGAAACCTCAGGGGTCCTGCCCCTGGGGGCGTCCATCCTTACTCTCCTCCCAAAAGCACTGTGGCTCTTTCTTCCAGGACAAGTCCTCAGACTTCCAGCTTCGTGGTCACTTGACCTGGCATCTCCTCCATCCCCAGGCCGTGAGGTCCTGCAGGGCTGGGACTGGGTTTGCTTACACTCCATTTTATCCCCAAAGACCGTCCAGATGCTGGCATCTAAAAGATGCTCATGAAATATTTTTCAAACAAATGAGCGAACAAATACCTTGTTCCCCTGTAAGTGTCAGAAGCTGAGGATGTCCCCAGCAAAGCAGAGATGCCACACAGACTCGCACGGACACACACACGTCCTCGTGCACTCACACGCACGTGCACACGCCTCGGCACTCACACGGCAATGGGCCTTGTCGAGCACAGACGTGCACACACGCAAGAGGAACGCTCCCCAGGCGGCCGTCTGCCACCCTGAGCTCAGTAAAGCCGGCTAAATATAGCCTGTCTGCAGCTGTGCTCAGCAAGCTGCCCACACAGGCCAGGAAAAGACACGTTACCGGGCTGGCGGGGGGGCCGTGGGGAAGGGCGGCCACGGGCAGGGGGCTCCGGGCTCCACAGGGTGGGGGTCCGGCGGGGAGGGCGGCTGCGGGCAGGGGTGTCTGGGCACCGCAGGGCAGGGGTGTCTGGGCACCGCAGAGCAGGGGGGCCGTGGGGGAGTGCGGCCACGGGCAGGGGGCTCCGGGCTCTGCAGGGTGGGGGTCCGGCGGGGAGGGCGGCTGTGGGCAGGGGTCTCCGGGCACCGCAGGGCAGGGGGGCCATGGGGGAGGGCGGCCACGGGCAGGGGGCTCCGGGCTCTGCAGGGTGGGGGTCCGGTGGGGAGGGCGGCCGCAGGCAGGGGTCTCCGGGCACCGCAGAGCAGGGGGGCTGTGGGAGAGGGCGGCCG